CTCGGCAGAGAAGGGTGCGGGGGTGCTTTCTGTCAAAAGAGAAATTAAAAGCGAAGGGACACGAGGTGGAATATCAACGGGGCCGAAGTGGCCGCGACTGGCGGAAGCGGCGGAGGAGCAGTCACGATACACAACGTATACAACAATGGAACCAATATCTGTTGGTAGGAAGGCGGCATTCGTAATAGCCTGCACACACTCCACCCGCGGGAAACAAACGTCGTGTCTATGCGTGACGAGCCTTATATTGCGGCGTGAGGGGGACGCGTGTTTGCGAGCTGCGTGTTTATTGCTCGACCTGGTAATAATAACAGGTTATTATTCATTACTCCGGCACCAAACACACGAACGTTGCGTTCACCTGCGCCTCGCCGCGATTCATTTTTCGTCGAGACTCATCACACACGTACGATGTGTGTACGTGCGTGCGTGCATGCGTGCGTGTGCGTGCGTGCGTGTGTGTGTGTGTGTGTGTGTGTGTGTGTGTGTGTGTGTGTGTTGTATGCGTGTGTGGCTGGGTGGATGGATAGGTGGGTGGGTGGATGGATGGGTGTGTGTGTAATAATCTTCAACGAGGCGCGTTAAAATGCAAATATTTTTTTTAGAAAGTTATTAACGAGCTACTTGTAATTAATACGTAAAAGTATTGAAAGAATGACGATATAACATAGTTGAATGTATCATGTAATGGCTACAATATCTATATTATTAAATGTGAAAATAAATATCAGAGCGAATTTAAAAAGAGCATGAAATTGTGTGTGTGAATTCTAAGTGGAAAATTAATTCGTTCACTATAATTTTCTGCAAAACATTATTACCACCCGTTCGCCGTGTAAGTATATAAATTAATTGAACTATACGTCTTTGTGATGCGCGTCGGAGAAGCCAACGCAAGGTTGTCTGCGAGCAACTACATGAATATCTCCATCAGGCTTGCACCGTCACGTCTAAAGCGCATCGTCGTCGTATTTCCGCGAGATCGACGACGAGAGTACGAGAGTACGAGAGTACGAGAGACGAAGAGAGGGAGAGAGAGAGAGAGAGACGTCGAGGCCCGCGTCGCAAGGCCCGGGACATGAATAAGCCAACGGGCAAAGGTGTGGTTCCCAGGCGTCCGCGGTAGGAAATCGCTCACTGGGGAAGAAAGATGGAGAACAGAAGCCAGGAGCGAACCAAGACGTGATTAATATAAAAGTGGGCGGAGCCTGGCCTGGCCGGAAGTGGCCGAAGAGGGATGCTGTGCCGTGCCAAGCAAGCGCGAAAACGGGGGGGCTATGCCGCCGCAGCTGTGCTGGCTCTCGTTGCACACTCCGTGTCCGTGTGATATGCATCGTGGATGTGTGCAACCGCGCGCGTACTCGGAACACGTACGTCTGAACTGCCGGCGGAGGAGGTGAGAAAATGGGCGAAGCCAAGGTGGCGGGGATGATGCGAAATATATATCACGATTGACGCGCACACCACTCTCTTCCCCGCGGTGGTCGGCCTGATCCGGTCCCGACGCGACCATGAAGAAGGCGTGACACCCCAGGCCGGGTGTCATCAGCCGGGAAGAGCCACGCGCTCTCGATTCTCCAAGATGCCAATATCGCGCACACAAAACACACTACGACACAGAATGAATCGATCAACCGGATCTGTGTACAAACGCAGCGGAGAACACGCAGCGATCTTGATCGCTCGCCAGGCCTCGTCTCGTCTCGTCTCGTCTCGTCTCGTCTCGTCTCGTCTCGTCTCGTCTCGTCTCGTCTCGGCGACCGAGACTCTCTCGGTGCCGCTTCTCTCCCTCCGTCTCCACTCCGTCTGTCTCCTGCGCTCGCCAGGCTGATCTTTGAATTTTGAAGAAATCGACGGTCACCCGAAGGAAAGCCAGACAACCAGATGGCCGCGCCGAGCGACCCTCCGAGTTGCTGGTAGAGGGTGACAAAGAACGGGATGGTTCGGCTGATTGGCGAATGTGGGATCGAAGAGATCCGGGGGGGGCATGCCGAGCTTTCGGAGACGCGGGGTGTAAGGGTTGACGCGCGGGGGTGGCCAACCCCACCTACTTCTTTAACGCCCCCAAGCAGAGTAGGACCGCCTCCGTCTCTGGTGTTCCACCTACTACACCACCCGGGACTTCTACAGTCTCGTAGACAGAGCCACCCACACAAAGCCGCGACTGGGAGCACCCGACTATCTCTATCGGCTATACACTTCTAAAAAAATCATCCCTATTCCCAGGTAACACGGAGCGTTCTCCGATTGAAGCGTAACTGCCGTCACCCTCCATCTCACCCTTTCGATCGCGCGACGATGCCATCTCTGATGTTTCGTCCGTAGGGGTGAAAGGATTCCACTGTTCAATTCAAAGGACCATTGTCATTGTAAATTCAAGTTCATTTTGCAAATGTTTCACGTTTTTTACAAAAGCTGCGTCCACATTAGTATCACAATTGTACCGATAAAAAGCATATTAAAGTAAGAGAATTATTTATACGTAAGACTTTGTGTCAAAGGAGAATAATATCTTTTTTTTTTTTAAACTGCTTCAATGTTCTATATTCTAGAAACCTGTATCTAAAAAGTGATATAATGGAAATATATAATATCGTTTTCCATGTTTCGTGAAATATTGCACGCAAATTATTAATCTTGTAAGCTCAAAACTTCATATTTATATTTTTAAGAATAGTTTTTAAAGTCAGGTTTAAAGTTATTAATTTCCGGCGTAATATTTAAAAAATAAAAGCAACGTATATATTCCTTGCTGAAAATATCAACGAGTTCAACACGATTTGTGCACAATATTTATTATTCTCAGGTGTAGATTTTAATGCGCGTGTTGTTTAGGTGGATGTTTTGTTGCTAATTTTATAATATTAATAAATTAATAGTATTATTAATAAATTTCGTAATATTAATAAATTTGCTGCTAACTTATAAACGGATTTGTAACGGAGATTATAAAGGGCGATTGTTACTTCGGTGTAGTCAACATTACAAAGCAGGTCGAGCAAAATTCACAAACGTGAATAATGATCATTGATTTCTCCATTTGATCGCTTTGTTTGAAATTACTCGCGTGGTACCACCAAAAGCTACGGTGAACATTGTGTGCAGGCGTTGCGTGACAGACGACGAAACAGAAAATAAGATTTTTTGTCAGATTGTCAGAAATGTTTCGAAACAAGTCGTTGGACTTCCTCAGCCAATGGCACGGTGATTCATACGATATTAGATTACTCTGAGACTCCAGGCAGCTTCAAAGGCGGCGCACCTCTGCCAAGATTATTTTCGGAAAAATGTGCTTTACACCGCAAAGATTTCTGTACTTCGCGGCAGGTACGTATTTAGTAACCCGAACGTAGTTAATCTTAGGCCGGTATAGTGAGATTTATTTGACCAACCATTCTGGTTGTCCGGCACACCTATTTGTCTTGTCGCGATCGTTAAAGTGTCATTTCCACGAATATCACCCTAGCCGGTAGAGAGCAGGATCAATCAAGAGATCTCGGGGTAAAGAAACATTTGTCTGTATTAACGGGAACGTCGTATTTAATTTGTTTAACATTACGAGAGGCGCGCTAAAATCTAAATCATTTCGTCTTGGCAACTTACTTGGCCCGATAACGCGATAACATTTCTATTTCCGCATCCACAATTTTGGCAACAGCGTATTGCTTACCTCCCCCCTCCTACCTCCCTCCCTCCCTCCCCCCACTAATTACGAAAGAACTAAAGGAGAACCATCGGTAAATAATATTTATATGCAATTTCTAAACCGTCAGATGACAGTGATTAAATAAGAAAGCGGCAGGTATCGTTGAACGCGCGTTTCTTGATAGTGATCGATCAGTTCGAAATTTCTACCGTACCATAATCTCCATTTACGTCCTTTCTATTTTTGCCACGACCTAAATTCGATTAAAGTAAATCGCGCGAAATATTCATCGATCTTGCGCACCGTCCGCACTCTTATGTTTCTATTTAATCCCAATATATCTATATTTACAACGTAATTTATGAGATTAATAGTGACAAAATCGTACCACGCGCTGGATGTTCTAAGCTTGGCGACAATTTCGAACTTCAAAATGCACAGCGATAACGTAAATCCTAAAACGTACGAAGGAATAAAAATATAGCTCTATCAAATAGCGCGATAGCAGTTCTAAACAAAGTAATCAAATTAATATTATTACGACAAGAAATCGTGATCTGCGTCAACCATAGAATTGTATAAAGCAGGAGAGACAAAAAGAGAATGAAAAGAGAGAAAAAGTCAAACGTCAAATGTACATTTATATTATATAATATGCGTGCGTTAACAAACTACAATATATACGAAGAATTGTCACGATTTTGAATCGGGTGATAAAAAGGAATGACGAAAGATTTGCTACGCAAATTTGGAGGTGCATTCGAAATAAGAAGGTATCTGACGAAAACAAAATTTCCATCTCGATTAATTAATCTATTTCCCAGATAAATTAATGAATTACACCATGACGGAAAAGTAAATAAATATATACGTGATCCACGCGATCTTTAAACTTTAAAGACAGCGGCAAAGAGTCAATAGTTGTGTGCACCGCGAAAACGTGCGTTAAACGGACGAAGTGTTTAAAAGGAGTACTCCAAATTCCAGTAGCGGCATGCGAAAGGGAGCGCCGGTGGCACGTGGCTGTCACCAGTGTCTGCAGCGCGATGCAAAGAGCGTCAGAAACGTACGAAGTTGGTGACACAAAAAAAAAAAATGACACAACTAGCAAAGCAAGCAAACGATTGAATGGAGAATAAAAGAGAGAAAAAACAAAGTAGATAAAACACGAAAGAGAGAGAGAGAGAGAGAGAGAGAGAGAGAGAGAGAGAGAGAGAGAGAGGTGAAAACAGCAGAGGATATTTATGTGACGTAGGTGCATTATGTGAACAAACGTTCGCGCAGGCAGGCAGTTCAGACATCGGATGACATAGGCAGTGCACTGGAGAAGTGTTGCAGGGGTGAATAAGGCTACCTGGACGGGTCTCCAGCGTGGTTCCAGCATGTCCCGCTTCCTCCTCGTCGAGTCACTCGTGGTCGTCGGATCCTCCGTCCTTCTTTACGTGATAGGATTGATAGAAAAAAAAAACCGAAGAAAGACACGAGGCTCCTTCTGGCTTCCTTTGGTGATTTCCTCTATCCGTCGGGACGCAGCTCTTCGTGTTCTCCGTTTCTTTCCGCCTCTACCCTCTTTCCTCCCGCCCGCCCCCTTTCAATCTCTGTCACCTCTACCCCTTTTCCGCCTTTCTTCTCCCTCTGTAACCACTCTGTATGTTTCTCTCTCTCTCTCTCTCTCTCTCTCTCTCTCGCTCGCTCTCTTTCTCCCCTTTTCGTCTTCCTCTCGCGTTTTTCGATACTTTTTTAGAGCATGCGCTTATTATCTATTCACCTAACTGTCTACCTATCTATCTGTTTTTCTCTCGAAGCACCGCGTGCCGCGCGCGCCACGTGCACCGCCGCGACGTTAAAAGAACGATGCCGGATCGGACGTCGCCGTTGCCCCGATGAAAGGAGGCAACCGATTCCCGAAGACGCCGACGGCGACGCCGCTCTCTCTCTCTCTCTCTTTCTCTCTTTCTCTCTTTCCCTCCCTCCCTCTTTCTCTTTCTTTCTCTCTCTTCCTCTTTGTCTCTCTCTCTCTCTCTCTCTCTCTCTC